TTATTACATATTACTATATGCCACGTTACAGTTATATATTCCAAAAGACATTTAGTAAACTTAGTTACAAATTGGTTTTTATTTTTGTTGTGGTGGAAATTTCGCAGCGATCGCTTTCAGAAGGAATTTGAAACATTGTATTTATTGTTCTTATTAATAGCATTGTAAGTCGGAATGATGCCAATAATGGACGAAGCTTTAGTGTGGTGGAATTTCAGGAATGTGGTATTACTGTTCAAATGTAAAGCAACTGCTGCCTCAGTACCGACATTTTGGCATGAGTATAGCAGAGATATGTGCATTGTCGCACAGGTATAATATACGTTTAAGAAATAAATTTATATTAATGCAGTGACAATAAGATTTATTCTGTACTGTTTCTATTTGAGATATGAAATATGTAATTTAAATTTTGCCGATTTATCACCATGAATATAAGATATTCATTTGCCTATTCCGTCCTTTTTCTAACTCAACATAAGGCACACTTAGAGGAAGACGATATACGAATGGGATTAAATGTCTCTGCAAATTTTCTAGATTTTACAGGGAAGATAGCGTGTGGGAAGTTTGATAACATAAAGGAAGGCGAAAGCTAGTTGCAGTTTCTTTCGTATGATATTTCTTCCGTTGGTTTTCCAATCTGCTTCATTTGAAAACTTACTTCTCAATAATATTTTTAACCGCGTAATAAATCTGGTGTGTAAAGGAAGAGACAATGATGGTTTACTTTTATTATTAGCGTACTTTTATTAAAATCAAATTTTTATTAAAATCAAATTTAAAAAAATCAGTTTCTTCATGGTCTGAGAAATATTATAATGACATAGTTATAAGCTAAAGCCATTTGCTATAAATCATTCAAAATATTTTTTCAGACTCTTAAATATGAAATACATGCTCTCGTAAAATAATTACGCTTTACTAAAAAACACAGAAATTTCTGCCTCAGTTTTGCTTCGACGTAGCTGATCTAGAGTTTTGCAAACTACATTATGAGCAGAAGCAAAGGGTGTGGCATGTTTTGAAGCATGAGAACTTTTGTACCTCATTAAAGCACTGAGATGAAAATAATACGTTTTAAGAGAGTGATTCATCGTTTAAGAACGTGTAATTTTATTCAAAGTTCCGATTTTTTGTACGTAGTCGTCGACGTAAAAATTTAAGCTTTTCACTTATTTGCAATGAAATCACGCAGAATTTATGCCTCCTACAAAGACTTATTGAAATTATCTCACCTAAACGTAAGGAAAAATTACATTTCATGCTCAAATTGGAATAATATTAAATAAGAGAGCTAGGAAAATAGAGGAATGGCAGAAATGAATTTCATTTTGAAGAAATGTTCTCCTACACGTAACCTTAGAAAAATAAAAAAATCAATTTAAGGCACATGTAATTTCCCTTGAGTGGGAACTGAACCCTTGGCTTTAGAAGAATATCCATTCTTATGTCTTTAATCACGCATAAGAAAGAATTAAATGCAAGTACTAAGAAAATTAATTTTAAGTTACTAAGAAAATGAAATATATTTTTCTCTCTTTATGATGAAAGAAAATAATGGAAAAAATTCAATTCCGCAATTTTCACAAAAGTATTTTATTACATTTCAATTAAATTTATTCATTTTTATCACGATGCTTGCTTAGACATGGTATATTGCTCTCATGACACAAAGAAAAGAATGAAGTTTCCCAATTAAGCCTTTTAGTAATACACCTCTACATCAATTCAGAAGCAAACTTCCAATATACTTATATTATCAGTGGTAATGTAAGGACAGACATACCCAAAACTTAAAGATTAACATAATTATGCTAATTTACTGCCGCGGATCTAAACAAATCAATTTTTTTTCGATTCTCATAATTAATATATGTATAAAATAGGAATCGATGGTTACGCAAATTTGTAGTTCTTGCCATTTAGGGATATGAAGTAGCTCAAAAGCAGGCGAAAATGATCGCCACTGACGAGACATATTTGTCAGAAATACGGTAGATGAAAATTAAGTCTGCAAACGTGAAATTTTTCTCATATTTCAAAAACATACTCTCCGTGATTTTATATTCAGAAGAATTATGAGAATGTTGAGCGAAGGTTTCATAAACACCAAATCTGAAATGGAGATAGAATTGAGCAACACGTTATCTCTAGGCTGTGAGCAGTTTTTTAAATGACTGGAGGTAGTTCTTCCTGTAGAAAACAAACGATAGTGCAAGAAAATAAATATTTAGCAGTAATAGGCATGTCAATCGACGCTAAATGGCTAGTCTACTTCCAAGTTGCTTCTATTGCAGTATAGAACGAGATTACTCCTCCAAACTATGACCATTAAGCTTAAATTACATAGGAGTATGTAACCGAAGACGTCTGTGTAGCACTATCAAGACATAATTATCAAAATAACTAAAATTTTTGCAACAGTGTTTTCTTATACGAAATATACTTTGCAGTAACTATGTTTTGTTCACCGTAGAAAGTTGCTTATACCTACAATCTGAGAAGTCACAGTTCCTACGGCACGAAAGAGGATGGTATTGCATGATGGAAGTGTACCAAAATGTTGTTGTTGTATTATATCAGTGATCACTAATGTTAAGAGATTATTTAACACCATGTTTATTTTCTAGATGACGTCATTTGCGAAGCATTTCTTTTATGCATGATAACACCATGCTCCATCAAACCAAAAAAGTGAAGAACCTCTTGTCAGGGAGGATATCTATCGAATCCTCTGGCCTGGAATCTGTCCAGACATATATTTTACTGAGCACTCATGAGACATTATTGGCAAACGAACTGTAGCTGGAATTCTTTTGTCAGAAAGCAAACAGGAAACCTAATAATGCATGCTCTGTAAGAGAAATAGAACAATTTGTTGTATAATGAGCTCGTCATGGAGTTGTAGTTATTGTATCACCAGTTCGAGAAAGACATTCCTTATTGAGCAGTCAAGTTGGCTCGGCACTAGTACACATCTTAATCTATTATTATGTCTTTAAGTCCATAGCATGTTACAAAAACATAATTTCAAAATAGAATAACAATGGAACCCCGTTCTTCCGGAATGAATAATGGTGGAACAGTTTTGGATAAAACATTTTTTTCGCATAAACTATGATAAGGCTTATTTTTATTGCGCGAAAAAAAATAATTTTCTCACGCATTAGTTTCTTCATTATTATTATTAAATATATTTAAGGCGCAATACATTACTAATTTTGTAAATCTTTTGCTTTCATTTAAATCATATCAAGAAATAACGTAAGTCGATAGATATTTAACACAAAGTTAGATTTTTATGGTAGGCTACAAGTAGCGGCACTTAGCAATTTTTTTTTTCAATGTGAGACAGAAAAATAAATTCCTTTCACAGAGAATGGCAGGAAGCCACTTGGAAGGCACTGTCAACTGTTTCTGATACTTACATATTAGCAGCATTCTAGGCTTTCGGTTATTTTCAAACTACAGAAGGCTTAAATTAAATTTAACAGAGATCTAGATGCTGGAGACATTTATTATCTCCCACTTTCGATAGTACAAGCTTTTCTAAGCTAATTCTTTCATTCCATGACCCTTTTTACTTTCCACATCTAGTTTTTGTTAGTTTGACTAATTCTAAAGTTTCACACCAAGTACATCGTACAGTCCTCGATTTCCCTTGAATCAATTTACTATTATTCTTAAGGTCTGCCTTAATTTTCCTGTGCTGCATTAACATAATGTGTTCCCTTTTTAGTTCGTGGTGCATGGGAAACAAGAACATTCTCGCCGTTTTAGCAGTATCTTGTGGTGCTTAAAAATGAGGATAGTTTTTATTTAGTTACTGGAAAATCCTAGAGCCCCGTAAGGAAAATACTGAAACTAAAGAATTAAAATTGATGTTGTTGAATGTTGACGGGGATTGAAGACACAGGTGGAAGAAGGAGACAGACATTTACCAACAAGTCATCATCAAAATTAATTGTTTAAGTTAGTTGGTAAATTTAGATTATTTAATAATTTGTTGAAATGTTTGATGATAAAGTCCTTCGTAATTTTTCGCATTCATTTTGAGGAAAAGCTTTTAGCACAACATTACTTTTATTTGACGTAAAACAACAATGAACACAAGTTTTTAAAGGGAAGTAAAAGGTCACAGACTTTAACCCATTATTTTTGCATGCAAATATTATTAAGATATCGTTCTACATTAAAAATGTATACTTTATTTTGAATAGTGAGGAAATGAGAAGAGGCGTCAAAAATCTGAAAGGGCTGATTTTGGGGTTTGGTTTATTTCATTCTTAGTTTACGGCACTTTACAGTTTTGACTTAACCAGATTTCGGGTTACAATAAGTGCGTAATATGTAGGAACGAAAGAGTATTTTTATGTTGATTCGATAGTTTGGTTAGTAAGGATAATCTGACTGCCCATTTATAATTCGAATCTCCTTGTACTCACTATCTTTTAATTCTCGTATTAATGTATTAAAAATAATTCTGGGTTATTCTGGAAATAATACTTTTTTCTGGACAGTGGGAGTGCCTAAAGGAGAGGAGAACAGGAATAGTTCTTTATTTACTTGAATATCTGGTGCGAATATGATATGTACATCATGTGTGAAATGCAGGAACTTCCATATGCAATGTTGACAGGCATGATTTAGAAATCTACCTACAAAACTATTTCACTAACTTGCATTCTGAATATTAAGTAAAAAAAGTTTGAATATTTACAAATAACAATGATTTCTAAAGGTTTATGTTGATGTCATGATATTATAATAAACGGTTCTGAATAGTAATGAGTCATTCACTAAGAATACAATTTAGGAAAAAATGCATAAACTGCAACTGAAAATCATTCGTAGATTATGAAATTTATTAACAATTATTTTTTTAACAGAAAGAACAAATACAATTTGAACATTTTAGTACTGATCTGCTTTTAAATTTGAAAGCACAAATGGAGAAACCGCTGCAACGGAAAAAAAAAAAAAAAAAAAAATTCTACCTGTAACGTCGAGGAATATTTCTTCTGATTTCAAAGTGTTCAGGACGCCATTGATGACATTGGATGCTTGGCAGAGGTAAGTTCCTTGATAATTATAGGTGACATTTTGAATATAAAAAGTAGCATTGTTCGTCTTTTCCTGCCATATCACTGGATCCCCGCCTATCCTTTGTAACCAAGAGTATCTAGAAAAAGAAATGGAACCTTATTTTTGATTGTTAAAAGTCACCGGTATAATTTAAAACTTTATCTTTTATCATGTACACTGCTCAAAAGAAAAATGGGACAGAGCTATATCTCCCGTTCTACTGGGCCGATTTACAAAATTAAAACTGCGTTCTTCATGTCTCGAAAGCGCGACTTAGGATATATATTAGATTTATATATAGCACTATTCTAACATAGGTATTTTGACACAAAATCGGACTTTTTCTGAAATAACATACCAATTTTTTACATATTTCAATTCTACGACTCAAATTACGCCTAAATATGAAATTTTGTAAAATTTGGAGCGAAATTTACGGAGAAATTCACAAATTTATGTTGGCACTTTTTGTTCAGTTTGCGCCAAGAATAGTTCACTTGGCGAACGTCTTAATATATGGCAACCTTGTTTCCTTTCCCGTGAGAGGAAAAAAAAGTCACCATCATTCTTTTTTCCAAATAATATTCTTTATATATTTTTTATTATAACTGTTATTATTTAAGTAATTTTTTCTTTTCGAATTTCATTTTAATTGTTTAAGTTGCATTTTTTTTCTTCGAATAACTGTTTTAAAAAATTTCATTTTACCTATTCAAACTGCGTCAATAACGGTGCAGCGTTTATTTATTTTTCAAATAGTTTTCTTTATATATATTTATTTGTCATAGTATTATTTTAGGAAATTTTAAAATTTTTATACTTTTATTTTAATTATTTGTGTTGCATTGTATCTTCAGATAATTGTTTTAAAATTTTCTATTTATTCCTTCGAACTGAGCATTTTAAATATATTTATTAATGTAAATTTTCCAGAATTTGATTTTATTTATTTGAATTGCGTTTCTTTCCGAAGAATATTTTGTAACCCAGACTATGATGCATTTGAAAACTGCATATATTAAAAGAGAAATTATACAGTAAAGCACAGTTAACACGCCTTTCAATATTCCGTTCAGAAAAGATATATATATAAATAAGAGAGGATTTATAACAGACATTTTAACTTAGGAATGACTTGCATACACTGCTTTAAACCAGTTTTAATCATTGTGCCCATTGCTTTACACAATTTTATCCTACATTTGGTTTTCATAAAATGTTATTCATATTTTAGTCAAATATTTTATTTTTGAAATCGCAAGAATCAAATATCATAAGATTAAAAAGTTTTAAATTTAAAAAAGTACAAATACTAAAATTTACGCAAAAATTTATTTTTTTTCTTCTCTTTTTCTTCAGGCATTCTGCTTTATTCTTGCTCTTTTTCCTTAGGTATTCTGCAAGTATATTAAAAAGCATCCAAATTTTTGAAACATCTAGGTATTTCTGACAATCATTTTAAATAAAGTTATCGCCTTCCATTTCATAAAGGCCCACAAACGGCCGAGCGGTAGAGAATCGTTGAACACTGGTAGAACACTCGGCACTCGGCCGAGTGTTCTACCAGTTGAACCGGCAATCGTTGAACACTCGGCGGTTCGAATCCCGGTAAACGGGCTGGTTGCATGGGCGTTTTCATGGATTTCGTCATGTATTCCGTGTATGCCAGCTGGTTTCTCTTAGAAAGTTCTTCACGAAGTATTTGGTCAAGAGCCTTTATCAGTATTTAGAGGCTAAACATTTTTAAGGTGTGAGATGAAAGGAAAGTCTGGTTTCATCAAGAAGGTTTTGGTTTATTTTATTATGACAGAGCACAATAGGGCTATCTGCCTAAGGGAAGGGATGCCTTCGTGGAGGACTTTCTAAGGGAAATTGGCTCGCATACACGTTACATATGGGGAAAACCCCGAAAACGCCCATGCAGACAGCCCGTTCGCGGGATTCGAACCTCGGACCGAACTAGCAGTGTTCAGCGATTTATCGCTCAGCCGCTGTTTCATCAGGAGGAAAAAAAAACGTCTTTAGGTGACATCCACATACATCTCTGGATAAACTCCTGAATCTTCAAATAATTCGACTGAGAAAATCATGGGATTCTCAATTTATGATACGATATGATGTTCTCTAACGTAATTTAAATTTATACAACCATATAGTCTACAACCAGTCGCTCTTCACTTTAATATGTAATGATATCGTTTTTGTCTTTTCTGTTAACACAAGCTCATTTGATGGTATTTGGTGGTGGTGGTGTGTGTACACGTCCAAGTGTTTTCTCCTTGAACACATAAATTCTTTGAAGTATCCTGAAGGTATATTCAAAAGCGTCCAACTTTTTGAAACATCTTGGTATGTCCTGACAGCCAAATTTTCCTGCAAATTTTTGCTTACTTTTCTATCTTTTCTTCCTAATTTTCTTCTTTCCTTCTACAGTTATTTTCAGTGCTCACACAAAAAATTAAGACTTTTCGATTCCTAGACTTCCATAAATTTTGCATTCTTGTCAATTTTTTTTAAAAATATCAATTGCATCAACTGCGTTTCAGCTGAAGACAGCTTTTCATTTTCTAGACATTTTAACTATAAACAAAGTGTAGAACAAAGTCCAAAGCATAAATATTTTAATTAAAAGATTTTTGCTAAATGACAAAGAAATAAAACAGTCCAGCAGGGTTTATTCTGTACCACTGAGTAACCCGATTCTTATATCGGCTGAAAGAATCTAAATCATATTAAAGATCATGTTTTTTTATACAATCTATAACGCGAGAGTAAAATTAGCTTCTTAAAACATTCTTTCTAATAGGATTAATATAAAATATTATATTTAAATATATATATTTTTAAAGCTGGGACTTGAACCAAACTGTCAGACTTTTAAAGTTTAATTTACATGGTAGTTATAATTAAAGTTCCAATTTGAAATGGTCATAAAAGGAAAACTACTGGACCAAATGTTATCAAACTTGGGAATCGTGTAAAGGAGGTTATGGGAATTTATTTTCCGCGGGGAAAAAAAAAAAAAAAAAAAAAAAGTTCAAAAACTCACCACCAGTGGGAAAATGGCGCTGTATACAATATTGGTAAATGAAACAAGGCATGAAAACATCTGTTTAAAATGTGTTTAATAGTTTCCGAAACGTGTTACAAAGCATGTTCAATGTAGCGTCCAGCATTTTCCGAGAGCAAGTTAAATCCTGTTACTGCATTCTTAACAGCAGTTCTTAGCATAATGTTACGGACATTTTTCATTTCTGCCAAATTGTTTAGAATATCACCATAAACAGTGCTTTTGAGATAACCCCATAGCCAAACGTCACAGAGATTGAGGTCTGGTGGCAAGAGGGGAATAAGACGTTCATTCGTGAAATGTTTCCTAAGTAACTGTGCGACGCACGTGAGGTGGGGCCCAGCCCTGCATAAAAATCGTAGTATCTAAAATGCCATGTTACTG